GGGGGGGGGGGGGGGCATTGTCAATCCTTTATTTTACACAATCAGGCTATTCTTCATTTTTATCAGGGTATTCTCTTCTTTGCAGGAATTAGAGGATGTCTTTTATATGCAAAATTCATGGAAAATACTGAAGCCTTCTTTTTACCAGAGTATTCTTTTCTCAGCGAATTTCAATCAATACTCTCGCCTTTCAGTTTGGATCTTGATGCGGAAAAAAGATTTCCACAAATCATTTCTAATTCCTGAGAAAATCCGATTTCCTACTAATTTCTCTACAAATGCTGTTCATATTGATCCCAATGGATGAAAATGCAATCAAACAGCAGCGGATATTTAACCATTTGAAAATCTAATCACCTCACCAGTTTTTACTGGGGGTAATATGCAAAAACTCTACATCCTGCTGTTAAAAGAAACATCTTTGAGAAGTGCCAACTTTAACATTCATTTGGTAATGAACTGGAAGTCACAAAATGAGGATGTGATGTAAATAACTTTGAATGGCTTTTGATCTTTTGTGCATATAAAATGGGACATGAAATCATTGTAAAAACAAATTAAGGATGAGCAAGTGTAATCGCACAGCATTCTGATTTTTTTAAAATAGACAAAATGAAAAATTATAGAAGAATAAAGTTAACACCTTAACGAACCTGAAGCAGAAACTGACCGACAGGTTTGCAAAGAAGACGAAGGTAAAGAGGTTTAAATCTACAACCTGCTTTTGAATTAGCGGTGCTGCATGTTTGAAAGGCTGACAGAAAAAATTCCCTAAACCACAGTAAGAAAAACCTCCCTTTTGCCCAATTAACACCAACGAAATATGCACTTATCAAAATAAATAGGCTGTGTAGAGCACTGGCGGGGTCTGTTTTACTGATTCTCTTATATAACAACCCATGCCAACTACAAGTATTAAACTGTCAATCTCTCAAAACATACGACTACAGATGGAATGCTAAGATAAAATGCTCAATGTGAAAATACCTTTCCATTCCAGTTTTCCCTATACAGGAGAACTGCTGATCAATTCCCCAGAGTGTGCTTATGAAAAATGCACTGCACGCCCACTGCATTGTGCTATTGATTACTAATAGGCAGTATTTGCTGGTCGAATCAGTGCAAGAATGGGCATTGTCAGAATACATAAATCTCATTCTATTTCTCCCAGTAGTTGTGATGACAACAAAAAATTTCAAATATCTTACTTTTTAAATCACTTTTTACTTTTCATATTTTTTAAGGAGGGGGGGGGGGGGTAACTTGTAAAAAACACACTGAAAGAACCACACTGAATCATCTTTACCAAATATTATCCTAAAAAGAATCTAATTTTTTTTTAATTATGATTTTTCATTGTTGTTAGAATTTAGTGAGAAATTACTGCACCTGACCAATTTTCTTATTTTATACAGATGGGTAGCCATGCGCATACATATACTGTATGTATTCTGTCTCCAATAACCTAAATCTAAATAATTACTTTTTCTTTCAAATAAGTATTAGCAAAGGCAGCTGAGTTTATCTGACTAATAAGGCCATTTGATTTCAGCAGCCTAAACTGAGCCCCAACACTTAGGGGTCCCACCCTTTGTTAGGCAGTCACATCTGTATTACAAATGCACTTCAAGATCGACCTTCATTACCTGTTTTGTATATGCCGCCTACTGCGTTCATGCTGAACAGCATCGAAGAAAGCAGCATTCCAGAATCTTAGGGATCTCCATATTGGTTGGTCTTTGAGATAGCTGTACAGGAAGTGTTTGTACACTGGCCCTGAAGGGTGGCGGACTGCAATGATGAATATGCCATGTTACAACCAACACAATACATGTCACAACTAACACAATATATGTCACAACTAAAGCAATGCATGTCAACTAACACAAGACATGTCACTTCTAACATAAGACATTTCATATCTGACACAATATATGTAATGTCACAAGTATATCAAATATCAAGTATATGAAAATGTAAAGTTAATAAAAGCAATCAAAGTAAAACCAGAAATGAGAAACCAGCAACCAGGAGAGGTAAACATGTACCATACTATAAAAAAATAAATAAATAAAAACATCTTTCACATTATCTTATTCGATAAAACTTCCCACACAATGCAATTATTTTTTCTGATTTCCTCTTTTCCATTCTTGTGATAACTTGATTCTGTTCTTATAAACTGGAATGTAATAAGTCATGGATGATGATCCCCTACAGAGCTACACAGACACAACCCAGCAGTTGAGATGTTAAAAATTAATTCACTGGAAACCTCTGGAGGCATGATTTCCATAAATTCCACTTAGCTGACTTAGGTCAATAAAATTCTTGCATGCTATGGTCCCTTGTCTGACTTTCATATTTCCTAAAATAGTACATAAAGCTGAACATAGTCTGTTATGTGCTATCCTCAAATGACCGAGTCCCAAATGACGTATGAATAATTTACAAAGAAGCAAATCTCTTCGCCAAAATATTTTTTAAAGGAGTTTTTTTCCTTTTATTTATCTAATTTTTTTGTTTTTTGGAACTGTAATTCTTAAAAAAAATCCAGTCAATAGGTACATAATATGGGTTAAAAAAAAGCCCACAGGTTTTAACAGAGGTGCCCTTGGGAGCTGACAAGTTTGATCCCAAGTTGTTTTAAATTAACACTAATCCAATATACATGTACCAAACAACTTCATTTTTCCTGGATTCCAACCTTGTGTACATGACTAATGTTATTTAGTCTCTAAGAAAAGAATAATTCTATTTTCACACTCTATTTGGAGATAATGAAAAACCTCTTTCTTACAAAGAACTTAATTTTGGCACAAATAATGCCTATTGTAAGGTGCAGATTACACTCTAGCTACAAACGTAACAGGCCAATGCTTGTGCAGGTGTCCTCCCATCCTTGTCTTCAATATATGTCTTTTTAAAATCTATTTCAAATTTTAAATATCTTTCTATGCATTTGTGACTAATAAATAAATAAATTTTTAAAAAATATGTTAGTAACATATCCTGCTACTTTATAACTTGTAACTCACCTTCATGGCAAAATGTAAAACACATATTCATTAGCGTCTTTGCCGGAGAGAAATCCTCAGCTTCGTTGCACTCAAAGAGGCAAATAGCAAAAAACTGGATCAGACGGTAAAAGATCTGCTCATCTACAGTCTTTGTGTTCACTCTCTAGAAAAAAATTGGAATAAAAAATGTTTAAAAAATTTATTATTATCATTATACCCATAATTATTACTAATTTTAAGAAAAGAAGACAAGAAAATAAGTACAAGAAAAGGAAAAAGAAAAATTTGACATATACATAAATAAATACATTTCTAAATGTAAAACAAATTAAAAAATTTGTATAAAGAATATGTTATGAATCCATCCTTGAAACAGTAACAAATTAGAAATCTATGTGTGAAGTGCATTTAATTATCATACACTGTGTTACCTGAGCATTCATATTCCTAGCAAACCACAGACGTCCAGGATTTTCCTGAAATGTACAAAAAGAGAATAAGGTATATATGCCTTCATAAATTTAGCAGTGTAAAACAGCAACCACTTTCTTGTTATAAAGACACTGATAACATTTTGGGTCAAATAGAACCAAAATTGTGATCTTAAAGTTTGATCAACTTTTGGCCTAAAGTTATATTGTAAGAACTGTCCCCTGGCGCTTCTGTGTGAACAGAGACAATGACCTAATCAAGGGAAGTGCTTTGAGGCCACAGGATATGAGTCTCATCACAATGCAGTCACGCAAGATCACGCAAGAAGGCAGCTGTTTTTTTTTTTTTAATCTTGAAATACAACTTCACCTAATGAGTCGAAAGACCAAAGCGGAGGCATCTTTCAGGGTGTTTTGCAATTCACGTTGGATGCACGTAACATGAAGTACACTTAAACAGAATAAGAATTGATCTGAAACATTAACAATGTACATATCTCTCTTGGTTGTATTGATATTGTATATCATTTTAAGGGACTATGCTACCCATTTATTTTGGCTGTAAGTAGAAATTTTCAGGGGTATTTATGAACAATAGACAGCTGTATTGTTATATCCAAACTGTTTTACAATTTAACTGCTGTTTTCTAGTCCATAGAGTTTTGGCATAACCAACTGAAATTCTACACAACCATACTCTGCCTGGCAGATATACACGTATATACATATCTCTGGTATTGATATGCCTTGGTGTGTTTTCATCTAGATCTAGCTCCTCCACAGTCCACAGATAAATCACCATGTACCGTCCTTTTTCTTCTGTAATACTGTCTGTTTTTCTTTTTGTTGGCTACAAGTAGTTTGAAGGGCAAAATATAGTATATTTGGGTTTTGCAACTGTGTATCATTCACCATAAACTTACTTGGCAAAGCTCCCCAAATCTTGCTTTGTCTGTTTGAGATATTGCCTCTCTGAAATTATAAAATTATTTGTTCATGATAAAGTCAGAAATATTTGGATTAAACTTAACACCTGCAGGAACTGGTGAAGTCCCAGAAAATATTATATATTGTAAGAGTACAAAAGTTATAGTTTAAACGTATCAATTAAGATAAAGATGAACAAATACAGCCTGTATATGTACTTGTTTTTTATTTTTTATTTTTTGATTCCCTGTTGTCTAGACTTGAAGGTTAATGTGATCTTTTTAAAAGACACAAGGAACATCTTCAAAAGATATCTGAGTTGATTGATGTGACATGAACTAATGAAATAAAGGAGACCAAGAAAAAGAAGGGGAAAAAAATCAGTCTGGCATGCTTGCCTTAATTACTAAACCACAATAACAGTATGTCTATTCCACAGAGGAAATATAATCACTCAATCGCTGCCGTGTACCAGTACTATTGCAGAAGTGGTTTTAACTACTTAAAAGTCACACAACGAAAATTTGATATTTACAAGTATATATAGTGCCCCCGCAAAAAATAAATAAATAAATAAATAAAAATAATAATAATAATAAATTAATAATAATAATAATAATAAAATAAATAAAAAATTTAAAAAAAATTATCAAGAAATTTAGGCAATTTTCCCTCATCACCCATACATGTGTATAATGTTACCCTATCCAAAATCATTGAGAATGTAATAATGATGTTTAAACTTGTTTTCGAGTTTCTATTTTTTTATCTTAAGCATCACAAGAAACTGCTTCTAGTCCGTATTTCCATTACAAGAGTGTCTTATTTCAAACAAAACAATAGTCAAATATTGTCTCATGACCTCAGTGTCCTTGAAAAGTAGACCAAGCAGAGTTCTTTGCTGAGATACCCAAGAGCCCCTTGAGAGACTTTTGATCAAAAAATAGATGGTCTGTGCTCAAATTTCAGTCAAATAAGCCTGTTCACAAATTTTGCCACACAAAGACAGCAGATGATGATCGCACATACCATGGCGAGAGACATATTCCAAGGATCCCACCACATGAGCTATACTTTAAATACCCCAGTGTAACCAGATGGCAATGCCATATGAACCCTAGCCCTCCCCCTTCACATGACCCCCCCCCCCAAAAAAAAAAAAAAATGGAAATTAGCCAACACACACAACTAATCTATACCTCAAAGTCAACCTCAAACAAGATTTGCTTTTATTCTCAGTGAATAATTAGGTTTGTAAAATCAATGAAAAATACAAGTTTACTCAAGAGAGTGATGAGACTAGAAACAGAGCATGCAATTCCGATAATTAATGAGACAGAATTTTTTTTCCACAAGACCACCTAGGGAAATTAGATAGGCTTTTAAAGATCAACCCTGTTTCAAAGGAAAGCCAGTGTGTCTGATTATTTCTACAGATTTATTTCTTGGAGGCTCATTGAGCTGAGCATATTTCAAGGGGATATGAAGGAATTTCAAAGGGATATGAACGTATAGGATTATTTGCTGACTTTTTTGAAAGGTTGCACACTCAATCGTTTGAACATGATTTTCCTTTTTGCTCATTGGTGTGTTACAAGATGGTTAGTGATGCAATTCATGTTGATTTAGATTAAAAGCATGGAACATTTCTCATGCTTCACTGCAAATATCCTACACATTTTTAACAATAATTTTTATAAACCTCATTTTTTTTACTGTTATATAGTGACTTTCTCTGTTGTTTCCCTTTTGTTAAAACATCAGTCAGATTTCAACATTTAAAATACCAAATTCACCAAAATGATTAAAATGTGTTTATACCAATCTAACTCTAAGAATTTATTCTTATAAAGAAACACATACAAAAACTTATTTATCATTAATTAAAGCAATAAATGGCCACAATAACCTTGAACATTGTACGTCTTAATTATTGGTTTGACACTAACTCATATACTGCTATCAGACACTGTGTACAACTGCAAAATATAGTTTTGTTTAGCTTTAACATTTTGTTATTCATCACAGTTTTCGGTGCTTCTAAAATGATCAGTAATTGTTAACTCACTATTAGCTACTAATCAGCACTGACCCACTCCCATTTTCAGTATAGTGACCCTCTCCCATCTTCAGTATGGTGACCAACTCCCATTTTCAGTATGGTAACCCACTCCCATTTTCAGTGTAGTGACCTACTCTCATTTTCAGTACAGTTGTGCTCCAATGTCATCTCAAAGGCATTATGCCACTGAATGAACATGTGGGTAAGGAAGAATGAAAATTTAAGAATAAAAAAATAAATAAGAATTAAAATAAAAATTCTTTGTCATCAGTGTGCATGCAGCTGTCAACTGCTGGTTTCTACTGAAAACTGAGTACCTTACGCATTTATAAGATCTACCATTCTTTTTATCATTATAAATGAATCATTTTCTACATACCATTACCAGTCACAGTAACAATACTGTACTTTACTATATAAAAATAAATTAAGTACATGGAAATCTAGCCAATCACTTCTAGACTCAACAGTTATGGAAAACTCCACGACAGCAGGTCCCTTGTGTGGGTTTTAATGTAAATGCAATAGATGATAATCAAATTGAGGCAGGCATTGCCCTGTTAGAATTTAAAGGCAAATCTATTTAATGACAATCAAATTTATTGATTTCCTTCCAATTTGTTACCAGCTTGCAGTAAGAGGCTTAACTGGGCTGAGCAAGATATAAGGTGTGATTACACAGAGCAAGTGAACACAAATTAATTAGTTCAGCCTTGATTCTGTGACTGTATTATAATTATGCTCAGACATGCCTGAATATCTCTTTGATGGTTTAATGGTTCTAAAAAAAACACCTTCAATAACTTCAAAATACCGCAATAGTCTACCATACTGTATATTATGCATACATGTAGTCCTGTGTAGGAGGAAACCATATTGGTTGGTGTAGCTGGCACAGTATGAGCTGCAAGCTGAGCCAGTGTCCTGAAACAGGTCAGCAGCTCAGCAGACAGGTTCCAATGTGTGCTGGCCTAAATGTAATCAGTTAATGCAGCTTTGTATGAATTATACAAGAGGGCCTGCAGTTATCCCTGAGAAAAGGCCACCATTATGCCTTTTATTACATACACATTGATCCTGGGTAAGTGGCCTTGGGAGGGTTCTGGTCAGACTTACATATACAGTAGACTTTTTTCCATATGACACTGTATATATGCTTTTAACATGTTCATACACACACACACACACGCACATGCATGCACACACACACTAATATTATGATTTATTACTTATACCGGCCTGCTGGTAATTTAGGCCTGTAAACCAGATTTAACAGCGATTATAAGTTGCACTGTGCTAGCTTTCTAAGGTTTCAAAATCAATGCAACATTGCTAGTTTTTCTTTAAAAAAAAAACAAAAACAATTTTTTCTGTCAATATGATGCTATTCCTGGCTGTAGGACAGGAAACGATCAGCATCCATTTCAGTGTACTGTATTATATAATTATTGGTTATTTTGTATCTTTGCATTTGGGTAGTAAAACAGAAAAAATAATCATCCAAGCGAAAGACTATCATTGCTTCTACAATGTTTGTGTAACACTAGATGTTTGAGTGTTTTCTGTGATGTCTACAGAAAAAAAATCCTATTCATCGCATCCATATATCAGTTGCAGATGACAACACCTACATACAATGTAGTGCTTTATCACACAACAATACATCATCTTGTAAGATAACACCATATTTAACACACCTGTCCATGCCACCTACATGTATTTCTCCATGACAGTAACAGTGACAAACACTTGTTTTTAAAACTGTAAACATAACTTCATTAACTGCAAATAAAATGTTTTTCTTTAATATTTAAATTTGAAAATCCAAGTTTTCTACCTAGAGGTGTGTCATTCAGTTGAGCTGATTGCACTTGGCGAGTGTCCCTGCGGAGTTGGGTCGATTCACAAAGACTGATGGTGTCTTTGTGAATGGGGTCCAAAATGTCACTGAAATGTTTGCTCACAAAACCAAATAAAAAAATCTGCATCAGAGATGTACCGGTATGAGCACAGAACCACTGTTTTCACAATTCATTAAGAAAAAAGAATGAGAAACTGGTTTTCCTGTCTTACATGTGTCATCCATATTAGATCTATTCAAAATAAAAAGTAACAGGACCCATACCAAATCAGACCAGTACGATTATCTGATCTGAAAGCGTAGTTGTCCGTGACAACCAGGCGATGCTTTATTACATGCCCTGTACCAACTGGAACACTGGAGAGAGAGAGAGAGAGAGAGAGAGAGAGAGAGAGAGAGAGAGGTATTAAAGGAAGGGAAATTAATAAAATTAGAATCTAGCGAGGAAAGTATCAAGGGAGCTGTACGGCATCACCATCCTACCCTCCCACCTATTTCTCTCATCACATTATTTCATTATTGATTTCAACGTGGGCCACACGAGTACACAGGACATCCATTAACGAGAGGGACCAAAAATCAATCCGTACGGACAGGCAACCATTTGAAACTCGATCAGGCACTTTCTTCACCAAAATGGCTAATTAATGAACAAGTTGAATCAATAGTCTTCTGGTACTCTGTAAATCAAAGCTGTCTGGACCTAACCATGAACTATCAACCCCTGAAAGTCTGACAAACCCTTTTTTTAAATGTATTTGTAGCATTATGATTTCGACTTTTTTTTTTTTAAGATGAAAGAATGTAACTGATAGCTGCTGATCTGTAGTTATGATGAAAAGATATAAGGAACATGCAGGTTTTTTTTCAAATGGGACATTTTTTTCTACTGGTGCTTGGTAGATAACTTTGTGAGGTCATAGCTACCAGCACATGTATAGGTAATGGATGGTTGGTAACTTAAACCTTTGTATGGACACTCAATGACCAACCAATGACCAGTGGCCTTTAACAAGATCAGACATTAATTAGAAATGCTTTTTGCATGCTAAACAAATCAAGGCATTTATGAGCTCCACTGTGTTGGAGAGCCCTTCAAATGAAAAGCCCTTGAGAGGAATTTAAAAGTAAAACATTATCAAAATAGTTATTATTTTGGATCGTTAAATTTTTTAAGCAACATTATGTACTAATTAAAGGATCAAAAATCAGTGTCGACATATATCAGCAGTTAAATCAAATTCTACTATATTTAGAAAAAACACTTGGGCATCAAAAATTGAATACCGCTTTTCCTGCAACAGCAGTGCCTTCCTGCTTTATAAATCGCTGTGCCATCTGATAGGTCGATCAGATGTTACGACCTACTCGCAAGAAACACATAACAAACCTGTCATCTGAGCATTCCTCAAAGGACCAGACAGACAAAATACTAAAAAATTCAGAACAACAAAACTGAGGAACAAAGTTCATATAATATGAAGCAATGACAAACATTGTTAAAAAAAGAAAAAAATATTCACACTGTGTACACAGTCAACATAGAGACCAGTATTAAAACAAGAAAAAATTCAGGTAGTACATTGCATTTTCTTAGAAAACCATTGAACTAAATTAAGTCCTTGAGATATATCTATGTACTGTATGTGCATGTCATGCAATTATTAGATCATGTTTGCTTGGAGGGTTCTTTAATTAGTTACATATCTTAAAGTAATATCTCACTGTTTTACAGCCAACAATTCCATGATAACACACACCCACACATTTTCTTGTGACAATAATTTCTGTTCAACCGTTTGATTTGTTTACCTCAAAAGTGTTAAGTGATCTCCATGCCTGCATTTAGATGAACCATAAGTGTTGGCTCATTCACAACTTAAATGCATGTGCAGAAGATCAAATTGATTAATCCAGGATTGGCATTTCTGAATTGGAAGTGCGGCCTCCCTGTAACACCACTCTCTGCACAAAGATACAATTAACCACTCTGCCTCACCCATTCAACCATGGGGCATCTGGATATGATCACATATTTAACCTCTTGCTAAGCATTTTAGACTTATCTTAAAACTTGTCTGAACGCAGCTTTAATAAACTTTTTCTGCCAACTATATGCATTGTTTGGTGCCACAAAGGAATAAGTCCAGTTACGTCTTTGTTGACTTTTCATTTCCCCCGATATTGGAATATTGTCATTAGATATTCTGACTGCCCTGTTGGACACAGTAGATAATGTCAGAGTATATGTGACAATTGAAAAGGTTAGCTTAACATTAATAAGTGGTCATTTCAATACATCACTTCAACACCTGATGGTTTTTGTAAATGACATTGGTGGATCGGTAAATTTTTGCTAAGACAAAACAATTTTGAACTGTTGGATAAAATCAGTAATTTGAACAGCTATCAAATTTGACTTGGGTTTCATGATACATGTGATTTTATTCTTATCCCTACTCAACAAATAAATAAATAAATAAATAAATAAATAAATAAATAAATAAATAAATCATGCGATAAAAATTGCCTTTAAAGTTTGAGGGAGTTAAAAGGCATTTCTCCATTATTGATAAGAAACTGCATTGATTTATCAATTAAGATCCCATGGCTACCACACTGCCTCAGAAAACTTACCAGTACTGAAAACTCAGGGTAGTACTTGATATATGCGTCCAAATAATCCCACTAGCACTTCTGGCATGACTATAATATCTCTTATTCATAAAGCTTTTAGATATTGCATGCTCCCGATTTCTTAATGCAATTATATAATATCTAAATATGATAACTCATTCTAGACTACACAAAACTGATTAGTTCTGTTGCTTTGTATTTGCTGGCAAGCCATTTGTATGGCTTTGAAAGAAGGCTCATGGAGTAAGCCAGAGGGAAGGCAGCTTATTAATTTTTAGTAACAGAAAGATGAGGGATTGTGTCAAATTTGATCAAAGTTTGAAGAAAAAACTGTATGAATTGGTGTAATTGTTGTTAATGATGAAAATTGCCAAGGAAATAAGGATACAGAAAAAAAATGTGACTCAAGACCTGACTTCTTTTAATTTCAAATATGACTCTTTGCCATAAAATATCTAACTAAATAAATAAATTAAAACTAAATAAACAAACAAGCAAATGAACAAACCAAAAAATAAATAAGTATGTCATGACTCACCCTTGGAAAATCTTATCGACGAATATCTTCATAAATTCCTTGACCTGGCGGCTGTGTTCATCTAACTGGCTGTCTGAACTGAAAGCAGACGCCCAAGACTGTCCAGACATTTGGGATTCTGATCGCTGTAACACTTCCCCACCATATTCTACCTCTGAGGAACTGACACTGCTCATCCTATGCAGCAACCCCTCCTCTTCATCATCATTAAAATCCATCAAATCCTCACCTTTGGGGTCATTTTCAGTGTCAGCTGGAGCAACCATGACCCCTTCGCGGTCAAATGTGAATTCTCGCACAGCCTCGCCTGGGCTAGGGGTTACGTCCACCCCGGGTGCCAGCAGCACTTCCTCTTCATCATCCGAACTAACCAATAAGCTATTCCTCCGTTTACCTCTGCGGCGTCCTCTCTCATCGACAAAGGTATCCTTTAGAAAGATATCCTCTCCAGAGAAGCTCTCCTTCTTTTCCAATTTTGGCCGAGGTGGCCTAGGTGGGCGGACTTTTTTGTTGCCATCTTGCTTTGACCCTGCCGTCTGCCCTTCTTTCATTTTATTCAAATGTCTAATTTTGGTTCCTGGATCAAGGGCATTAGGGACGCCATTATTCAAATCGACCCCATCTTCTAAATAATTATTCAGTGAAGCATTATCTTGGTCTGTTTTATGAACATGTGCGGATACTACCTGACCATGAGACATCTGTCCATTGGGAATGGTTTCTGTTGGCTTTCCATTTTCTGTCATTCCTCCATTTAATGACTCTCCGTTAGGCGAAGAGGTTGGAGGACTTGAACCAGAAGAGGAAGTTGTGTGATTAGGAGACGTAGTCGCAGAGTCCCTTTTGCTCAGCTTAAGGGTGACATTATCCAGTTTTGATGAGATGTCGCTGAACAGACCATTTTTCATCGCACCAACAGAACTGAAGAGTGAAGAGGCGCCACCGGAGAAACTGGCTCGCAGATTTGACGGGTGAGGTGGTGGTGATGGTTTCTCATCTTTAATTGGGGGTTCTGTTTCTCCGCCCTGGGAGAATCTTCGCAAGAAATTCATCTTGAATGATTAGTGAAAATGTTTGTAAGTATTTCCCTGCAGCTTCAGAGAAAAGTTCAATGGTATGTTGAATTTTTTCTGTCCTTTGGTGAATTTTTTACTGACAGCAGTAGGTGATAACTGAATACAGAAGCAATGAGCCGTAAATGTTGTTTTTCTGTCCTCTTGTTTTAAAGGTCTCTCAGAAATGGAAGTTACACGAACTTGGGCAGATCAATAAGTCTGCATGTACATGTAATAGAAGTGTGCCTGTGAAACCCACTAAAAACTGTGGTCAAGAAATTCCAGTCAACAACCTACTCATGGAAGGCAGACGTAGTAAGGCAAAGTAAAATGTATTCCAAGATACCTTATCACGCTGTAAGCTCAGAAGTCAAAAACAATCCTTAATGTCCTCTTGCTGTTTTTGAGTATATATACTTTGCTACTGCCAACAAATCCATAAAAGTTTCGTCCCAGTGCAATTTTTCTCGTTGGCTGGAAGTCATCTGAAATGATATGGAAAATTTTCAATAATCTAGGAAAAATGAGACCACATAAGCCTGTATTCAGAGTCGGCAGTCTTAACCATGAAATAGCTCTCCTATGGAATGGTCCTTCCTACTATTGATTTTCCCCATGTTTGTTATGCTTATGCAGGGCCGGCCCTCTCTGCGAGTTGCACTCTGGGATGCATGAGCAAATGGAATGATTTGAATGGATTACAGGTTAATTTTTTGAAGAAATTTTAAACAAACACGCAACCATGAAAACAATATTGATTAACTCCTGGAAAAGAGGATTGGGTATAAAATCAAATGTCTCAGAAAAATAATCAGACAAATCTTTTGATGTTTTAATATTCAGTCCACTGCCAATCAAAAGTAGAATATAAGCTTAATACAGCTATAAAAGAGATAAGCTCCTGCTGATTTACCCAATAGTCATTTAATAAGTGACAAGTTAACCTTCCATAAGTGATTCAGTGTTTCCATGGAGTATATATGCATGACTCCAGGCCACCAGTGCTAATCCAGCCTTGCCAGAAAAATTTAAAACTTAATTACTGACAAAAAAAAAAGGCTACAAAGTTCATCAGTCCGCAAGAAAAGAACTGGAAGGAAATAAAACATACAGCATATTTCTGTCAACAGTTTGTTTTTTAACACCACTGGATAGTGGTTTCTGTGCAACAATTGTAACAAAATGTCTTTCAATGAAACTATGACAGTTCAAAGCTATAGACAAAAACATATGTACACTATCTACCTGATCACATTTGTAGTCATTTAAAAGGAGATAGCTGCAATATTTTTTGAGGCAATTTTAGTAAATTTTGGAAGTACCTGTACAATACTATTAAAGTCTATTATGTTTTTATGTTTTTTTACAGGTGATGCAAAATTCAAGGTAGCAAAGTTAAAAAAACCACACAACTACACATACAAACATTTTTTAATCATATTAACAAACATTTTTTAAATAAAAAAATCCTTAAACACATTTCACACAAAATCTTTCTTTCTCTCTCTCTCTTTCTCTCTTTCTGTTTTTTGATCTCTCCACAAAAATCTAGTGAGTAATTAAGAAAATCATGAATTGATCTGTCTAGTTTCACTGTGGATACAAGACAAATCGTCTCACTGAATTGAAAACATCATTTTTCCTCTCTCAGTGTTACGATATTGACTATGGAGGTTTACCCCTGTGACGTCTGCCAATAACTACATGATCAAATTATTCTAACACCTACGAGGCTGAACAACACAAAAACAATCAAGATGTGGCCCTACAGGGCTTCAAGTATTACCTTTTACATGTAAGAATTCCTTTACCAAGGCAATGTTTTTTTCCAGAAAGATGACTGGATTCTATATTGGTAACAATATAGTCTCAAGTGAACAACAGCTACGTACATGTACATATAACTTGAATGTGATCTGAATGTTAGAAGGCAAAACACACATACACAATAAATAAATAAATAAATAAATAAATAAATAAATAAATAAATAAAAACAAAGTGATGTGATGATAGTGATGTCAGTCCCTTCATAATCATAAAACATTCACCTGACAAGTGTACAATACTTTAAAAAGTTTTATACTTGTGATACTGAATGAAACAGGAATTGAAACAAATGCCTTCTAGTGCACAATTTTTGTTCAAAGTAACTAAACTGTAAATTTCAAAAAATGATAAATTGGTCCAACTCACATGAGCACTGAAACATGTATACAGAATTGAAGTAACAGATTCTTTTCTAAAAGAGGTCGAGGCTATCGACTGAATCTAACCCCTCTGACGTCTGCTAGCAGCATCAGATCAATACTCTCAAACCTTCCTTTCATTTTTCCACTGACAAAATTATTGATTTCAATCCCTCTTAGAGATCAATCTCATCTTCTTTATCCACCTATAGGTCCTAAAAAGTAATCAGCTTTCACTTCACGTATATCAATAAGACTGGGTACTCTAGGCAGTCTCAGGGATCAATGATATTTCTTTTATCCATTTTAGGACCATTATAAGGCCCTACTGTCTGGATTTACAGAAATATACTCGTGGTATATATTCTGTGAGAGAAATCACAGATTCTCACTCTGATTAAAATTCATGAGTTTTTATCAAAAGGTGTTTTCTGAAAAATTAAAAAAAAAAAAAATCTTATGGTCAAATAAACTCTAGCAAGTAAACACAATGAAACAAATGTTAGTGCTTAAATAATAAAAAATATAAAACTCTAATACAAAAGTGAATTTAATGTCAAAAAGTAAAAAAGATGATGAATAAGCTAGAAACAACTGGTTATTAAATATATCAAGGAATCAAAATAATTTATTTTAAATCCTAGAATATATATATAGCAATTTGGGTTATGCCTGTAATAATAATAATGGTTTGAATTAATGGAAAGATGAAGCTGACATGAGGCATTATTGGAATAGAACTGAAACGTGATCAAAATGCTTTAGTAGAATACATGTACTTTGCACCAATAAATTACCCCCAATGCCCTCATTTACCACCCTGAGTTAACCAGATCTCTCCGAGGCCTGGGCACTTGAGTCTCTACTATCTGAAACTCAGGGTGTCAAACAGTGTGAATATCTCTACATTTCAAATGTAAAAAGATATCAGGATATATAATTTAAGGTAATCAGAGGTTCTATAGCATGTGGGAGGCAATGGGTGTTGAAATTACTCATTGTCAAGATAAGACAATTCATACTAAGGAGCACTGCCAAATCTGTCTGATATAAGGCCCTGGTAATTAATAATTAAGGTAAATATAAATGACTTTAAATTAAATCAATGGAAAAAGATGTAGATGACCAGGGATTAAAATGGCCGATGTGCAGTGGGGATTTCCTTTTAGATGAAGGAGGTCCCAGTGAGTCACTTACATGTTTTACTTCAATGGTGAATGAGTTTGCATGGTTGTTTGATGATGCAATCTAGACGTGTACCAAGTCTAACTTAAAACCTTGTCTGAATGCAACCAGTAAAACTGCCAGAACCAATCAGTGAGTGCCAAATATTCTTCATTTGCCAATGTTTGCTCAGAGAAAATACAATAATCCCACTGAGACTGTAACAAGTGGAAGTTAAAGGGGATGATTTATTGGTGGGAAATGCACCATGAATTGTACTGGTGATTTATATATTTTTTTCATAAAAAGCTTGAAAATATCAAATTTCATCCCCATTCTCTCAGAGTATGACATTTTATATCATAAAATCAGTGTTGTAGTTTGGTAAATTTAACATTCACTACTAATGATAATAATAATATTAAATAATTATAAACTTAATTAGAATAAAATTATAGTTAAAATTTTAAAACTCTACCATCTCTATACATAAACAAGTTTATATTAAATTTACATTTCCATTTACTCCTGACTTTACTATAATTATATATTAAGTAACATCATTCTATAATTCAGCAGCACTACAGAGTACAAGTGCCAGATTGAGTAAATTTGCAACATTCCAATTCAATTTATATCAGTATTGATATCCGCAACATGATAAAATCAGCAGTACCAAAGAAAAAAATTATATTTCTTTGCATGTGGGATATTATTCAAAGTTATAAAGAAGAAACTGCCATTCTGAATAATGGAGTAAACAACAAAACAGACTGGGTGACATATAGGATTAAAACCAAGTTCAACCAAAAACTATTGTTCTAAATCCATGCAGAAATGCAAACACAATGTACAAGTTACAATAGACAGAGTCTTATATCAAACCATGTTCAATGAAAAACACTACTCTAAATGCCGTAAAGAATACACATGATTTTCTAAAAACAGAGTCTTGAATGGAAACCAAATTCAACCAAAAACTAACATTCAATTTGACAAGCAGTGTAAACACATTTGAGAGACTATAGTGTCTGGGCTCAACCAAAGTTCAACCATTGACAATAAAATACGACAATTAGATATGAGCATAGGAACCGTAGCAACATCACACCATTTCCCTAGGGATATGACTTCATATTAAAAGCTATTAATATACAGAAAGCAATCACCATAATGGTTTTATGCCCCAAAGTAGCAGACAGTTAAGTACTATTAAAGCACAGAAAATACTCGAAAATAAAATAAAAAGAACAGACGGACAACAAGCACTGCACGATCTTCAATATTAAGATGAGTTATTTTCCAGCAACATCCAACATGTCAATGCAAATTAAAAAAATTACTGGAAACCTGCAGGGGTTGATTGAGGCTGTCTTTTGGGTCTTCCAAAAGACGGTCAGATATTTTCAAGTTAACATTGACAGTATCTAATTTTTTCTGACAGAAGACAGTCAAAAATGGAGGATGGATCAACAAAGCTAATTTGGAAGACTGCCAAAAAATATCTCTGGATCCGCCCCCAACATAGAATCATTTTTTTTTAATGTTATGTTGTTTTATTGTTGACAATAGATCTGCCATGCTGTTCTGCTTTAAGTGTTGTTCTTTAAATTAAAAAATGTTAAGCTTTCAAGCAATAAGAGAGATGGTGGAGGGGAAGGGACACCTTCTGAGTATATACCACCAACTGAGTATGGGCCCATTTGTCTTCAAGTATTATTCTATTTTTTGTGAACTGAAAAACAATAGATATAAACATTGTGAAAACCATTATGTTGTAAACGCTCCACTCCAACACTTTTTTTTTCAAAAAAGACAAAAACACTTAGACTAGTCTCTGAGGCCATTTAACAGAGTCAGAGATACTGCA